ATCAATCTTTGGAATGCCGCTGGCGCATTTGTAAGACCAAATGGCAACACATTGAACTGAAACAGCCCCGAGGTTGTAGTGAAAGCACTTATTTCCTTCGCTTTTTCTGAAAGCGGCACCTGCCAATAGCCACTAGCTAGATCTAAAGATGAAAACCATCTTTTTCCCTGCAAACTCTGCAATGTCACATCTATGGGTGGCAAGGGATAACAGTCCTTTTTTGTTGCTTTATTGACTTCCCGGTAATCAACACACAACCGTGTACTACCATCTTTTTTAGCAACCAAGACAATTGGAGAAGCCCAGGGTGACTGGCTATTCTCAATTATTTTCCGATCTTTCAGGTCTGAGAGCATGTCATCCACTTGCTTTCGAATACCAAAGGGTACAGGCCTCGTTTTCTGACGAATGGGAGGGTGTCCCTGCACATCGATATCATGTTCTATCAGACTAGTATGCTCAAGCTCACTATCAGTCATTGCAAAAGTTTCACCAAACTTTTCTAGGACGCTAACAAGTTCATCTGACAGTTTTCCTGTGCTATGATTCTGCTGCAGTATATCGATCAAAACTTTCATCCGTTTTGATTTCGGAAGAGCTACATGTCTTTCCATGTCAAGCATACCACCTGACACGTCTTGACATGACTTAGGCGGGATAATGGAACCATCATCCGACCATTCTCCAAGGGGCTCACCCTTATTGATTACCCATGTCTGAGAGTTACGATTTGCTACCGAAATAGCCGTACTCCCCTCTCTCAACAAGCACACGCCTGAGGTCACACGGGGGTCCCTGGACCAAAAAATCCTTTGACCAGTCTCTCTTGAGCTCTCTAGTTCAATGTCCGCCACCGCTCCGGGTGGTATGACTACCCTTCTGGACGCCTTTGCATGTTCCGGCACACTAGTCGCGCTACGCGACGGGTCTCTGTCGCACTCAAATCTGAGTTGGATCCCTAAAGCACTTAGAACGTTTGTCCCTAAGAGGAGGGTGCTATCCTTGCTTTTCTGGACATGCAAAGCTACTCGAACTTTATCAGCTCCTTCTACGCTTATTTCCGCGTTCACTATTGCAAGGAACTCCATTTGGTTGCCTGACGCGTCGAACACCTTATGCTCACAACCGTTGCTTACCAGCTCTACTTCGCTGTCTATGTCAAAGCCCCTGCTTTTAGCTTGTTTGAGGAGACCAGCTGGTAATATGGAGATCACTGAACCAGTATCTATCAATGCTCTTACTTCGATTCCGAAGATTTTCGCGTCGTATAGCGTTGGTTTCCCAACCGCTACGTTGCCCGATTCTATCGCCAACTTTTGGCTGCGAACCATCCCACACCAATCCTCTACGAAAGTGGATAGTGACTTCCTGGGGGCACGTTCCTCCTTAGAGTTCTTACTTGGACCCGGGCCTTTTCCGCCCTGAGAGGCGCTGACTTTTTGGTGTCGATTTATTAGGGCAAGAGGTGCTAAAGTGACCAGTTCCGCCACAGTTGAAGCATTTCTGCAAAACCCGATCTTCATTGCCGGAGGTTGCCGCTTTCTCAGCGAACATCCTCTTTTTGAAGGGTTTGAACTTCCCATTATGTTCATCCTTTGGGGGTCGCGCTATTTGAGTCTTTTCAAGTCTCAGTGCAACCCTTTTAACAGCATCATATGCCTCCCCATCTTGGGCCTCTAAAGCCGCTAACATGTGGTAGGAATCCTTCCAATGTTGTAGGCATGAGTATAATTTTGAGGCTAAATGGAAATCCCATTCAGTACTCGGGTGAATCTTCCGGGAGATATCCTCCATGCGACAGCAGAAATCTCCTACCGATTCATGGCTTCTCATCCTAAGCCTATCCCATTCATCAATCACTTTGAGCTTCTCGCAAGGGTTACGCCGCGAATCCTTAAGCGCCTGCACTATTCCGGCAAAATCACCCTTTTTAACGCTTTCTGGAAGCCCTTTATACACTGATCGCGCCGATCCAATCAGATGGTTTACCAACACATCACGCCTATCTCTGTCCGACCAAACTGTCATGGGATACTTCATTTCCAGTGCTCGCAAAAAGTCACTGAGGGAACCCTTCCCATCATATTTGGGGACTTCTGCTATGCTTTGGGCCTTGAAAACCTCTTTAAATACACTGAACATCCCGTTCATGGCATGGGAGATATGACTAGCCTCAGAGTTGTGCGAGTTTTGAAAGACAGAACTCGACTCACCGACTGTCGATGCGTTGGAAGACTGCCGACAGGATGGACTCGATCGTCCGCTGGAGATTGACCTCTGGCGCCTCGCTGTCCCAACGTTCGTTCCTTGGCACACGGGCTGTCGGCTCTGGAAATCGGTCTTATTCCCACGTTTCAGTGATAGAAGCTGTTGACTAACAGCCGACCAATCTACACAATTGTTTTTCTCACCTTGGGCTTGCATATCTGGGCGTACTTGATTCAAGGACGTTGCCAGCCTCGCCGTGAGTTCGTCTACTTGGCTCTGCAACTGACAATTTTTATCTATCAGGCACTGGATGCTCTTTTCTTGATCACTTGTTAGTGATCGGAGCCTATCCAACTCTGAACATTGAGCTCTTACAGTTGACGAGACCTCTGGAATTTCGCAGCCGAATTCCTCCGCTAGGCTCTGCATCATACTACTATTGTAACTCACAATTGGCAGAATTTTGCGCAATTCTTCTGGAGTTATCGAGATTTCCTCGAAAATAGTATGAGCTGCTCGGCCAATAGCTAGCCGAGCCTTTTCCCTAGCGGTCTCCACTGTCCCTTGGACAGTTTCGAGTATATTCTGCTTTTTCTGCGCAGATAAGTTGCGTATCTGCTCATCCAGAGTGTCCCGCAACCGGGTAATAATGTTATCCAAAGCACTGGATAAATGTGGATCAGTTGTGCCTACCTCAATCTGTGTTCCGGAGTGGTTTTCCACAAACGTCACATCCATGTTGCTTTCCGTGATTTCCACAGACTGGTTAGCTGCTCCGCTAATCTCAGACATCTCTGAAATTGAACCACGATCAGTCGATTCGATGTTGCCAGGCTTGGCTCTCATGTGGTTCAGTGTCTAGTGGGTTTTTCCCCGATTATTCAGTCGAATCCGACTGATGAATCAACTTGAGAAATGTACAGAAGAGAGAGTTGATTCACAACTAAAACAATAACGGAGTGACAAAGATTAGGTGACAGCAAATGGAGAGCTATGGTACAGTCGGAGGGCTATTTATAGGCAATGGGCGTTGGTCACACAAGGGATATGGTGCCCATTCGGACCCAGGTGATACCCGGGATACGGCTCATGAGCCCGCGTATCCGTCGGTCTCGCTGCCGCATTTACGGACCGATCCAGGCCGAATACAACGAAGCTGCCACCTACATAACAGCAGTGTTCACGAAATCGTCGTGGTTGTGGCCGCTGTTATAATCAGCCTGCGCTTCATGGCGTGGGGAGGGCAGTGAAAGGTATGCAAGGTTTATGTTCGCCGTATGCGCCGAAGTAGCTGAGTCTGTTATACTTAGCGTTCATGACGCCATTACTACACAGTTTGTAGACGTTGTACATATTTGTGAAGAGTGAGGGAGGAGGTGTCCTGAGTGAGTGTGAGAGTCCGGAATAGTGAGTGAAGATGGGATTGGCTCTGTGGTCGTTGTCTGTGGCCCTACAGTTATACGAAAACCTCGAGAAAGCTGCCCTATCAGCACGGACTATGTGTGGTGTGAGAGTGGAGGTGTGAGAAAGTCGAGATCTAGATAGTATTAACTTCGACTCAAACGCAATGGCAACATTAAGGAACGACAATATAGTCGAGATAATGATCCTGGCAGCCTTTGAAAGACATTTGAGTTGGTTCCCGTAGGACGATCATCTGAATTTTAACAAGCCTTTCTTTGCCTTTTATAAGGACTCCTATTGCTCTTCCGAATTTCATTCCAAGTCAATAAAAGTCGATTACAAGGAAAGCCTAGGCGGGATAATCAACTCAGGTCAAGACCCAGTCTCTTGCGTGAAGGGTATTTGGAAGCACTTTTATGAGAATCCCAAGAGGAGCAACCGAGAACAAGTACATACGTGGGGTGAAAAGTGGTAGCGACAGGGTGGATTTGAACATTTCCTTCTGTTCATCACATGGAGGACACTTCACGAGTTTACCAAATGTTCCCAGAAAAAATCCCTCTACCGTGCATTTGAACGAGATTTCAATGCTTCAATGCGAGGACGATAGCACATTCCACGACAAGAGCTGTGCAACTGGACCGTGAAAAGAGCCGGTCAATGGGCCGCTAGCCCACAGTGTCACCTAATATTTATTTCCACTTGTGCTCAGACCGTTTTTTAGCTTGTATATTTTTAAAAGTTCGTGAACCATCCATAACTATACCCCTGGAACGGGCGAATTT